TGTAGGTGTTCTTGGTTTGCCCTCATTTCAACTGGCAGACTATTGCTGCTTGTTCACGCAGAGAACTTATGCACTAGCCTGTTTGCCTCTGATTGAGGGTCGAGGTGTATGCATCTCGGGACTGAGCAGATGGTAGCTCTCCTGGCCCATTGACACAGCTCTGTAAGGGTGGTCTGGTGGCCAAAAAAATCACACCATTCCAGCCCTTTTTCCCTTAGGAAGGCTAGATTATCAGTGTTTTCTGCACATGTTCACTCTGAAGTTGACCTTTATCTCATCATTAAAGTACCAGGTGTCTTTGGAACTCCTGAACCAAGGCCGAGTTTTAGGTATGGCCTGTGAAACTGCTTAATTTATGTCATTGACAGGTCCGGGTTTATTGCATCTAAGACAGTGGGCCAAAGCATTCTGAAAGGCTTGCCAGTTGACCTTGTCTGTTTTTTATCTAGGAGAGTGCTGTGGCATTGGGGCTGGGCCAGCATCCAGGAGGATGGTAACAGTGCTATAGTGGTCACTCGTGACCACATCGACACACCATCTGATTCTCTCCACCAGAGCCACAGTGGCCAAGGTGAGGTCTTTGACCCCTCCTTTGACATGCTTTGGCTCTTGGGTGTTGAGAAAGCTACCTCAGGAAATATCCCGAGCACACAATGTGATAGCCTGACGCATCTGACCCCCTACATGGAGCCAGGATGGGGTGGTGTGCAATGAAGTCTACCCTACGATCACTAGGTATAGTGCTGCAGACCTGGCTGATGTCTAAGCTCCTACAATTTGGCCTGCTGTACACATTGTACAGCTTGAGGGGGCCCCACCAGGTGAATTTCAATGGCAAGAGGTTCATCATTGTCTCCACAGTGCACTGCATCGGCCATTGCGGAGCATGGCATTGTTGCTCTGACCAGGGTGATCAAACCTTTGGTGCCAGCTGTGCTTCGCAGCATGAAGACATGGTATCCTGAGCAGCGAACAGTCCACTCTGTTAATGTCTCCTGGAGCATGTCAATGTTCCTTAATCGCGCTATTGCATGGAGAATGGCATTTCTTCCATCAAAGCCATAGATGCTCCACTGTAGCATTCTCAGATTGTGTACCATGATGTTACTCTGTATCAGTTACATCTGTGTCGTTGATAACGTCGATGTATTCAGATACATAGTTAGATTCCCAATCAATGGTGATATTTGACATGTCGGAGTCTGACAACTTCACTGTGAAGTCCTCGCTGATCAAGTTTTTGTCAGGCTAGCTAAGGGTCTACTGGGAGGTGAACCTTTGTGAGCTCTGAGTTTTGTTGGCTTGGCTTTTCTCTTTTCAGGCTTTGCTTGTGTGTTCTAGCTTTACCTTAGTAAACTCAGCCTGTTCTGGCACTGACTGCATAGATTCAGCCCCTTCAGGGCTGCAATAGTCTGGGTCATTGCCGTCATGGTAACCGTGACTGCCTTCTCTGCCTCTTCACTCGACCAGCCCAAAGCTACTGCTACTGCAGTGACTACAGCAGTAAACAGGAGAGGTATATCTTCCTCGCCAAAGAGGAGTTACTACTGCAGTGACTATAGTAGTAAACAGGAGAGGCGTATCTTCCTTGTCAAAGAGGAGTTGGTCAGCGATTAGGAAGGATTTTGCAATGTTCTTCGAACCTTTATTCCTCTGGTTCTCTTGCTGAACACTTGCAAGGACCAGAAACTCCTTTTTGTTGGAGGAGTCTGGTGTCGGTTAGGGATGTGCTTCTTTCCTCATAGAAGGTTGGGGAGCCTTTTCCCTTTTGCTTTGTCCCCAGACACGGGGGAGCAAGAACCTCTTGTCGCCTGAGGGCCGCCCGGTTGGGACATTTGATTATTTTGCCCATTTGGCCTTCCTTGTGTGCCTTAAGGCACACCTCATTGTTGTGTGCCTTGCTACAGACACCACATTTGGGCTTGGCCTTGCAGCTAACCTGGTGGTAACCATATCTCTGGCACGTGAAGCTCCGAAGTGGCTCAGGCACATAGGTTCTAAAATGTGGATACATAGTTGGAAGCGTCGGTTACCTCCCCTAGTTACCAAAGATTTAAATACCTACAGGACTGCCTTGCAGGTCATGCAGAAGTCAACCAGGTGGCCTTCAGTGAGGTCCAGGTGAGACATTTCTAGAGAAACAACCATTACTTAGTTTAAAAGGGGGAAAATAAAAGGTAAAATAGATGCAATTTTATTTAATATCTGCTCCATCTACCCTGCTTCTCGATCACTGCCTGCATACTCTCTCTCTCTCTCTCTCTCTCTCTCTCTCTCTCTCTCTCTCTCTCTCTCTCTCTCTCTCTCTCTCTCTCTCTCTCTCTCTCTCTCTTTTAGTGCGAAATTTACAGAGGGAAGGAACAATCTGAACAACCAAGTAAGTTTCGATGAAGATTACTAAACAAACAACTGTGGCTTAAAATCTTAAAAATGAAAAAGAAGACAAGTACTTCTTCCGATCTTGAAAATCAATTATGCTATGACTGCATTTGCGGAAAAA